CTTTTTCTATTTTATGCGATGTTGCTTTGACCAGGGTTTGAACCCAGATATTGTGGAAGTGCGCACTACTTACCACTACACCACAGCGGCCGACAAATATATATATATTCATGACCACCTTTGAGAATTATCGAAATCGGTTGACGTAGTCCGAAGATATCGAGCCCTAACCGCCAAAATAACGTAAGCGACATTTTTTTCAAAATTTTCTTTTTGATGCAGAAATATTCCTAGAGCATCTAGATGCATTTCTGCATCAAAAATAAAATTTTGAAAAAAATGTCGCTTACGTTATTTTGGCGGTTAGGGGTCGATATGCGGTAACATACATAGAAAAAAATAAAAATTAAATAAAAATGTTTGAATATTATTGTTATAAGGCCATAAAATAACAAAAACAAATAACTTAAAGGGCGAGCACACCTATAAGTTAAGCATTCTAAAAATGGATATATTAACAAAAACCAACAACCACATGATCAAGTTTAAATAGCACTGGAATAGCTGCGCTTGGTTGTAGTTGGCTTAACAAACGAAAAAGTGGAAAAAAGCAACAAGAATTCACAAGGCAGTGCGTAGGCAACTGGCTGAGTCAGTCGAATCCTACTGAAAGGAGTCTGATGAGGAAATGTGGTGATTTCCGAAATAGCTATCATTTCTATAATTTTTTCAGAATTATTGTTGCTTTTCCACAATAGTTTTTCATTAAAAAAAAAAACGGCCTCAAGCTCAATAAAAATTGTTGAATATAATTGTTGTAAGGCCATAAAATAACAAAAACAAATATAAAATATTCCGACGAACTGATAACCACCTCCTTTTTTGGAAGTCGGTTAAAAATACAAAGTTCGTACAGTAAACTTTCAACAAGCCATTAATTATATGAATTTTCTGGAAACTTCTTAACTTATGAAGTCACTTAAGCCAACAAAACAAAGCGACTAAACTTATTTCTAAAAGTTTAAATTGCACAAGTGTGCCAATAAAAAAAAAATTGTTATACGGGTATACTTTTCAACAAAGTTTCGCGAATTACTCGAGCCCAGAATTCTAATTATTATTGCGGCATTGATTAAATGGTCCACTGAAGTACGATAAACAATTTCAAGCTCCAATAAACTTAATTGAGACACTCTTTTTAAGACAATTAAAAGCCAACACTTATGCAAAAAAGTAAATAAGATGGGAAATAAAAAAAGTAAAATAAAAACCGAAAGTATTTCGAAAAGCAACTAGAATTAGGTAATGAGGAGGGAGTGAAAAAGCTTTGCCATTAAAATGTTCAAATAGCCTGCGAGCCCAATGACAGCGAGCAGGGATGGCACAAAATATGGCTAACAAAAGAAATTAAAATGCGAAATTGAATTGTGAGCAATTAAATGCTGAAGGCGAAAGCAAGTTAAATTTTATGGTAAAAGTTGTAATGGTTTTAAGGAAATTATTAGCTGTGCACGAGTAGACTGAATACTAAATGAAATGCGCGGCATAAAGTGGCATTAAGAGCTGTTAAATTAATTTGGAGCAAATTGAAATTCTGTAAGTAAGCGCCGTGCTGACCGCACTAGTTGCAGCGACTGGAGTTGTCGGGATTTTTTAAGCCAAGAGAAACTTCATTAGCCTAAAATAAATTTGATTTTCTAGGAGTTTATAAAGCAAAAAAAAACCTAAATATATATGTACATATGTATGTATGTATATTTTCCATTTATTATAAACAATTTGGACAAAGAAAAAAAACCAGACCCGCCATTCAACGCCCTATTTCCTTCGTTAAAGCAATTGGTGAATTATACTTTGGAATGACCTTTTGCTTCTGCAGCTCCGTCAAAGTCGCTTCAATGCTTTCCATCCGCTGTTCCAATGCATCGAACCTCGCCGATTGCATATGAAACATCTCCTGCAGCAGTTCGCGCATCTCCATACATTCATTAATAAATTGCCGCTTCTCGCTCAGGAAGCACACTTTTGGCACAAAACTTTCTTCCAGTTGCTTGTAGCAATGCTTCTGTTCGTCGATCTTTTTTTCCACGTCCTCCCATTCGGCTTTCACCAGTTTCAAGTATTGAAAACGTTCGTAGCAAACGCCAAACTCATGCTGTAATGTATTCTTCCAGGTGTCCAGCAAACAGACGGTTTTTTGCAGCTCTATAATCTCCCGCGACTTTTGACACATGTGTGCGCGTAAGTCTTCTATCTGATCTTTTGCCACATTGCAACAGCGTATAAGCTCATTGATTTGGCATTGCAATTTGTGATGATTCTTTTGCAGTGTACAGATTTCCGAATTGGCAGAGCAATTTAGTATGATCTCTGGATCGACGCAAGGCTCTCCTTCGCACTCATCGTCCATCTTGAGGCGCATCTGTAGGTTTTGTATACGCCGCTTCATGCACTCCAATTCGGCCATCACTTTGCAGCAGTCAAGTTCTTCTTGAACTAACTCTTCTTCGGCCTCTTCTTCTTCGGGCAAAGGTTCATCATCTGGTTCGTTGTCAACTTCGGATTGAGTGACATCAACTTCTTTCCAAACCTGAAGAGCCTTTGTGCAGGTACGCTTGTAGATGTCCAAATTGGGCATTTCGTACGGCGGTTGATCAATTATAATAATGTTTTATTTATTTTTTATTTAAAATTTAAAAGATGTGCTTGATTTTAAAAGAGGAGGAGATAATAAAAATTGTTCGAAATTCAAGTTTGTGTAGAAAATAAAACAAATTTTCAAAACTGAAATTTGGTCCCTGAAGCATTTAGTGAGGTACACAAAAATTTAGAAAAAAATACATTAATGGCCTTAGGGCAGATTTCTTAATAAGATTAAAGAATACTTGAAAATTGAAAGGATGATTTATTTGGCTGATCGATTTCATAAAGCCACTTTAAAGTTAAAGGTGCCCATAAAGGCTCTTTAGTTAAGTACCCAAAATGGAAATTCAAATGATATAAAGGTCCCTTTTGTAAGAAAAAAAAGTATGTCATCTTCGTAGCATAATTTCATATTTATGACAATCAGCTAATGCAATTTTGCCAAGATCAGCATTGTTATTTTCATTTAAATGAACCTTTTGTTATTATTCAATTGCTATTCTATTATGAAAACAATTTTTGTTTAAAGTTTAAATGACACTTTAACTAAAAGGGGATTTTTGTAAAAGGAACTTTAAGGGTTTCATTATGAATTTGGCCCTTATTCATAAAAAAAGTAAAAAGCTCTATATAGTGACTTTTTCATACAATTTTTCGATTTATAGAGCAGTTAAAGTCTTTGTTTTTATGAATTTGAGTGTAAAGCTACGATACTTCAGTATGAGCGTTTCCAGCGGAAGGTACATATACCCCGAAAAAATATAAGTAGAGGGCAATGAAAAGCCAGCATTTTTGTAGAAAAGGAAACGCCATAAGTCATAGATCTACCTTCAGAGGTAACATGTTAAAATGATAGTAAAAATGTTTGTTTTGTATCTCCTTATTATGAAACAGCATCTGTGAAGTGCAGAACATAAGCTTATTCAAACGAAAAAATCGACTACCAAAAATTTGGTTAATATCCCTTTCCGGTCAAATCCGTCCCTGAATATTAAAATTGTTCCTCTTAATTACAAGGTTTATAGAGCCTCATAAAACCAAAAGTAAAAACAGAAAGATTCAAAAGTGGTTTTGGGTAGCTTAGGGCTACCTCGAATTTGTGCAATATATTGTACAAAAGTCTGCAAAGGAGTAAAAGCACTCAGAAAAACTCAATAAATATTTCACTAAGTTTGGCGGAAATAACAAAATAATTGATTTTACTGCAGCTATATTGGAATGAATATATTATATCTTTTTAAGTATCCTTAGTTAAGATTTGCATTAAAAAATTTTAAATTTTCTCCATGAGAAGAGAATTATATAAAGAAATCTTGAAAAATTTCAGATACAATTAAAATATAAAAATTACAAATGCCTCGTTTTAATAAACTCTCCCGGTTTTTCTGCCTCCAGTATATAAAGAAATCAAAAATCTACCCTTTACTGCAACAACAGCGCACAAGCTCTTCAAAAACCACCCTGATTGCCTGTTCTACTGCAACCTTTGCGGACGTTTGTACAATATATTGTACAAGACACTTACAGCCTTTCAGTGCATATGTACAATATATTGTAAATTTTTTTGACCACTCGGGAAAAATATTTTAAATCATGATAGTTTAATTTTAGCATTTTTATGTGATTAAATGCTTTTTATATTTCCATACTATGTGCTTTTATTAGCGATTTTACTTTATTTTCACGTATTTTTTGTACAGTAAATTACCACAAATTCCAGTGACAATTTTATAAAATGGCCCGTTTTTAAAATAATTTCGAAAAAATATTTTTGAAACGTTTTCGATTTTGAAATTTACGTAAACTATTCGGGACATTCCAAAACTTCATAAAGTTTAATTTGTTTTCAAACATATTAATAAGATTTTTAGTTGCACGTTTCCAATGTTACAAAAATTAAATGTACAATATATTGTATAAATGCAGGGAAAGGGATATAAACAAAACTGTTGTTAATTATATTGTTGAATCATTGTTGAAAAAATTAACCAAGGCATTGTTAATATTAACCATAAACCACGTTGATTCCTTTTAAAGTTTGACCATATTAACCAATTTTTGGTTGATTTTTTTTCAGTACATGCACATAAATTGATTGCAAATCCCGGCTACATTGGAAGTATGTTTATTCTTTGTACGATTTTCATAGTTAGCTTTTATACGAAATTTCATCAAAATATATCCCATGCTTTCTGCGATACGCACTTTAGAAAATCTTATTTATATGGGAAGTGGATGCCACAGTGGGCCGATTTCCAAAATGTGTCATATTTATCATAGCTAGGCTAAAATATGCACATATACCAAAATTTCAAACTATTTATTCAAAACAATTCTAGGTACGCCATATTTATAAACCAATTTAATTTTAATATTGAAGTGAAACTTTCAAGTGGCTCAGAATTTGCGATGACCTTGAAATTTTTCTTGCTGACGGTGCTTGACATTCCATTTAAAAAAGCATTTCGAGCACACTTCATTTGGAATTGCATATTTGCACATTGTGCACAAATCGCCATTTGGAGTCCAAAATTGTCAAATTGCCATTAGCGGAATTAGAGGAAATCGTTAACCTGGCAACACTGATCGTGGTACACATTATAGCTTCAAATCGAATTTCTAAAAAGTCTCTCTCTAATTTAACCCCTTTTGTATTTATAATAAGTAAATATTGATATGAATAATTTGAGAACTCCATGCTTAAAGAGTTGATGTTAAATTTGTATACAAAGATATAAAATGATCCCAAACCATATTTGTAATAGAATCCATGAAAATGAACTTACTATTTTTTTGGATTATTATTAACCCTTTACTTGACAACTCTGCACTTAAATAGTTTAGAATTTCTACATAAATATTGAGACAAGAATTTAACGCGCAAATTTTCAAAGCTTTAATTAGATTTTCGCCCTTCATAATTGACTTGAATAAATCTAATTATATCAAGCGCAGGATTCTCTCAAGTTTCCTTTTGCTTTCTTTAAATAAATATGAGAACTAGTACTCAGCACTCAGTCAATGCAGCAGATAATGAACTTAAGCAAAGTGCCAGAACTCACATCGGAAGCATGCTTTTAGGCGGCTGACCAAGTTAAATGGAAAGTGGGGCAAATTTTAACTGATGAGTTCCAGTTGATGCCAATTTTAACCCCAAATTTATTAACGATGCACGCAACACTAAACAGACACACAAATATACATGCAAAAGCATTGAAAATGGGTGCAGATAATATTTCAAAACTGTTACACTGCTTGTGGACGTCGGTGGTGGATAAGCAAAGTACCCAAAAGACAGCAAAGGAAACCATGGTGATGATTTAACTCGGAGGCGGTGAGTAGGAAGCGGTATTTGAAAAAATATGAATGTTGCGTGCTGTGGACAGGCTGGGCGAAAATGATTAATGTAGAGGGTGTCGCTTTTCCTCCCCTTTTTGACTGGAGCTGTAATGAATTTTTGAACTAAAGCTTACTCTGGGCTACCAATTTTGCGAAAGATGGAACATGAGCACTACTGTGTATTTGGAGCTTAGGCATATTTTTAGAAAAAAAATAGGTTAAAGTTAAACCTTAAACATTTTGAGACCGTTCAGCAAAAATATGTTTTTTGTACACATGCATACATACATATGTATGTATGTAGATATTTGTATACGTAGTACACATTAACAAATATGCGCTGAAAATGAAAAATTGTTTCTATATTCATTTATTAAAGCATTTCAAATCCACGTTAGTTTCGTCATTCATCATTAAGATTTGCAAAAATTTAAGGTTATTTTAATGCTCCCAAAAGTTTTAAAGAATTAGGTTCCCGAAATGGTAAATATAAAGTGAGTGTTCACACCTGCCTGGTTGTCCTGTTCTCTGGTTATGTGGTTGTGCTTTTTGTTCAGTTCACGAGAATAAGATAAACTATAGAATAATAATTTTTAACCAGATAATCTGCTAACCAAGCAAGTCTGAAGAAACAGAATATATATGAAAAAATATTCTATCTATGACATTTTACAGACAATTTTGACCGTTGAAGACAAAATAAAGCCACAGTTACTATGGATGAGAGTTCTGATGAAATTTTGTTCTTACGATTTCGCCAGAAAAACTTGGTGCGTTTTTTTTTATGGTCACAACTTTTGTGTCTTAAAGCAATGGTCGACGAACAGGATGAACACTAAAAAAACGAAAAAAAAAATTTGTTCACCATCAGTTCTACCGAAAAAATCAAACCTACTTTAACCTCAAATTAAATATTCTGACGAACACTTCGCACCTAATCAAACCACCCCATCAGAAAATAGGTACTTGTTTGTTTTGAAGAGGTCTTCAGAATTCGCCAGAACAAAATTAATAATAAAGGGGGTGTTCCACCTCCCATACAAACCTAATTTTCCATACTACATATCTCTGAAACTTAATGGTAGAGTACTGGAACTTAGTATGTAAGCATGTATATCAAATCCATGAGTACTCGATAGAGAAAAATTGGGCCTTTGGAAAGGGGGTGTGAATCCAATTTATAAAAGTATAGGTAGAAATCAACTGCGGACGTATTAGTAAAACTTAAAGATTTTTTGTTGTGTTGGGGTTTCGGTCACGCATGTTTTGCTAGGAGGTTAATATTTCGTTGTAACGCAAATAAAAGCAATTTAAAAAAATGAAAAAATTTAAATCTAAGGTATGTACGTACATATGTATGTATGTATCTACTTGCATTCCAATGTCAAATAAGACACTTGCCCTTCTGCGAGGAAAAAAAATCTTCAAACTATTTTTGCGCAAGTAAATATTTCTCTTTTTTTAATTTTCCCTCAAAAAATTTAAACTCCTGTCACGTTCCTGCCAACACCACACATTCAACAGCGGTATTTTCATTTGAAAATGCATTCTCCCACACACCGCCGGCAGAGGCTAGCAAACGAAGCATCCAAAAGGCAGACAGACAGACAAACAGATATTCGACAATGAAGATGAATTCGTTGGATTATTCTTTGG